GGTGGCGGCTTTGTGGCGATTTGGTAAAGTTTCAGTGGTGGAATAGCAAAAAAATAAGCACTTTCAGTAAAGTACTATACAAGTATAAATGCACATATCTTAAATTAACAGATATATATAATCTAGTAGATATAAAAGCAATAGATAATTTAGTTTATATAATTTTAAAATTTGATAAAAGTAACAAATATTTATTAAATAAATATTTATTTTAATATAATTATTAGCACTTTAAAGATTTTTAAATTTTCTTGAAATAAAAATTTTTAAAGTTTATTATTTTAAAAATTTCTATATTAAAGATTTTTTTAAAAATTTTTGAAAATTTTTTTTGAGTGAAGATCTTTAGAAATTTTTACTAAAAAATTTTTTCAAATAAAGTACTGGGTCAAGAATACAATTGCTCTTTTTAAAGAAACTGCTTTCATTTTTTTGATTAATAATTCTATTATTTAATCTTAATCCAATTAAGAACTTGTGAGCTATAATAAAAAATAAAATTGAAAAATAAATCAATATCAAGATATTTGAAAAAAATCTATTATACAAGATATTTTTATATTGACAATTATATCAAAATAAAAAAAAAATTTATGAAATTTATGTTTTAATTTATTAAAATTAATGTTGAAGTGCATTAGGCTTGTATTATAAGAAAATGATGATACTATTAAATATTGACTTACTAATATACTTTGTAGTCTGTATTACAAACTATAATAAATATTAAGGTGTTGAAGCATTTAAATCAAAATTGAAAAAATTATGTCATAAAACAGTTTTTTTTACTAGTATTATATATTGTAAGAAATATATTGTAGATTCTTTTTTATAGCTATATCTTAATATATACATATAATAAAGAACTAATGTTTATCAATATAAAAATAAAAATAAATAAATAAAATAAATTTTAAATTTTAAATAATTTTATAAAATAAAAAATAAAATATTTATAATTAAACTTTTAAAAATTTATTATAATAAAAATTATTTTTAATATACTATATATATATTGTATATTGTATATTATAAACTATTGATTATCAAACTAATTTTTAGAATATTTATATATAAAAAAAAATTTTTTTTTTCTTTTATAAATAAATACCAATTTTGCATTGAAAAGTTTTTTTAAACAACAAAACTGCATTGCAATAGGTGTTAAAAATTTATGGTCAGGAAATTGCCATTACAGTAATGTTTGTCAATACATTACTGCAAGAAAGAAAAAAATTCAGATAATTCAGAATGGCTATGAAATAGTTAGTTTCAAATAGTCGAGAGTAACACTAGAGGTAAATTATGATCAAAAAGAAAGTTTGTGTATCGGTTTCATCCGATGGTGATTGATTAGGAATAGCAAAGTGGACCTGATTTGGTTTCAACATCAGAGTATCTCATCAAAATGATTTTTGTGATTGTAATGAATTTCTTACTGAATCTGCGCGCTCGGAAATGATCGCCTCGACAATGGAAGTAGATGTTTTCTAAAGAAACCACATTCGGAACCCTGCATACATGATCATGACTTAATAATCCTGGGTGACAAGAGCAGAATATGATCAGAAATTTAAAAAATAGTGAATGTGATTACCATCATTGTCTTTATCACTAATTATGGTTGAGAGTGAAAAGCAAAATTTTCACTTCGCTTATTTTTTTCTCTTCCATCGCAAATCAAACACTATGTAATGCTCGTTGCCTATCCTGTATTTGTGTTCAACAATTAGAACATTTACGGTTATTTGAAAAAAGCCAACGCTTGATTTGTAAAGGTCAAGCATGCGGGATTACTCGTGAGGCCATTTGGAATCAACAATAGTGATAAATAAAGCCGGCCGGCATTTTGCCACCTTCTGGGGTCGTCACTTATATCAAGTTATAGATCAGGTAATTTCTTTATCGGATATATGTCCTTTAATTGGGATCACACAAAAGCAATAGATTTCTTTAAACGATTACATCAATTATCTTTTATTATTGTTATAGTATCACTATTTACTATATAGCCGGCTGTTTCACCATACTACCAAATATGATGTATTGCTTCTGTCTACGAATTCAGCCTAAAATTTGCATATACGTACATAACGAATATGTAATCCAGTTTTTTCACGTGACCTTTAAAATGGCAATTGTAATTGGCTGATTTAAATTACGGGATTCAACTCCATCCCATTCAAAATTCCAATCCCGCGCTTCGTTCGAAACACCAATATTAGTAATTATATAAATATGTGTCGTGTATAATAACACAATATGTGCAAGGGAAAATTTGTACAATCTTTTCTTATATCTTGTATTTACGTTATTGGTTGATTTATTATTACCAGTTTTTTTAAAACTTCAAATACTAGCTTGGTTTCGTTCCTATAGCGTTTTCTATTGTTTTATTTTAATGTAAATACGTTTATTACCTTTCGTCGAATCTCTTTGACGATACACTTTTCCCTTCACATTTTTTTTCTTTAATTACGTATACACGTAAACTTTACTTCACGAACTTTTAATCTGTTTTGTTGACTACTTCAACTTTAAAATATCTTAAAACCGACTCGAAAATCACAACATAATTGTTAGTTTAGTTTAATTCTTTCATAAAACAAAGTATATAACGTTGAAAAGTCGACAGGCATCATAGACTATTTGGTCGTGAGTATAAAATTTCTGACCTTTTTCTTTAGCTTATTTTTTGCTTGTATTTTTTTTTTTTGATTTACATGTTTTCGTTTGTTTTTTCCAGAAGAAACAATGCGTGAGTTACTGCTGGTCCGAAAATTAGAAGAGGAACAAGCAAAAAGAAAGCCACGTGAGGCACCTTCCGACTCTGCTTCGGCTTTAGAACTTTCCGATACTACTGACTCACTCGACGCGGAGCAGTCAATACAGTCGAAACAACCGGATTCCTCTCAACTTGACAACAACCTTATGTTCTCCGAGCAAACGCATGTAATTGCAGAAGATGCTAAACATATAAATGATCATGAAACTAATATTGATACTGTTAAGGATGTTGCTCCTGGTGAATCAGTGATATCAGATGACCAACAAAAATCATTGTCAACTATAGAGCCTTCCATACATTCCACCCATAATGATTCTTTATCAGGCGAAGTTACCTTCGTTGATGTTGAGGCCGTTGGTTCATTAAAACCTGATGATGGCATAGAGGGTACTGACGAGTCTGAGGACCTAGATTTGACCACAGTCTCAAGTGTTGATAATGAAAACAAAATGAACGGGGGTTCAACTGAATTACAAACAAAACGTGCAAGTCTCAAAGAGTTCTTCTTACATAAACAATCATTTTCATTTTCAAAAGACAATTTCACAGACAATTTAGCATTAGATCCTCATCTAGAGAATGTCGAAGTTCAGTCATCGTCATCTCAAACTTTAATAAATAACAGCACAACTGATGGAAATAATTCCAATAATTTGTTAGAAAAAAGGTATTTGTCGTATTGGAAATTCATCATTTTTAAATCTAATAGCTGAACAAATAATATGAACTATCTTATTGAATTGTGATTAATTTGATCATCATTGATTAATCCAACTAATAATATCAACCCCTTACTTCCAATTTTGGTCAGCAATCAAGTCGCAAAGGAACAGTTAAATCCGGAAATTGATAATAATACTTCACAGGTTAAAGTCGAAAGTTCAGATTTACCCCCACGGAAAGATTCAACCGAATTAAGTAAATCCGCCCAAGAAAGTTGCGAATTAAGCCCTGACGAGAAACGTCAGAGAGCAGCCGCTGCTCGTGCGACGCAGAGGAAGGAATTAAGAAACCTCATGAGACAGAAGAAAATGCAAAAACAAAGCGAAGACGTTGATGTGGTGATAATGGAACCCACAAATAAACCCACCGCTAATGATGATGTCCAATTATCTAACGACCCGCCAACTGTCGTGATTGATTCCGCGGAACAAGAAGAAAAAACATCAGCGTCAGTTGAACAAGAATTTGAAACCATTTGGCTAGAATCTCGTTTTTCGTTTTCGTTTTTAATAACCATCTTTAATCTTCACAGTACAATCTCACGAATAAAACGATCAAAGATTAAATCAGCTTCTGCCGATTATGATTCGGACGGTTCTATAGACCTGGATGTTTTAATTGCAGAAAACAGCGATTTGGATACGGGTTCAATGCAATTGAATGACGATGGATTAAACGATGATGATGATAATTTTTGGAATATTGATACTTCTGAGGTACAATTCCACCAGTTTGTTCCATTCCTACTTTTTTTTTTCCTTATAATTCTTATCTCGCTTTCTTTCTCTACACTACTTCCACACAATATTAGCTTGAAAGACATTTGACACCATCAACTACACCTTTACGTCTCCCATCTCCAGACCCTCAAGCTGCATCAACTATGTTCTCTGCATCTAGACCTTTTAGCATGATTGCTGAAGAAGATGAAAATCTAAGCGATACCCCTCTAGAAGTCGATGGGCAAGAAGTAGATGATATCTTAAACACTTTTTCGAATTCAAATGGTTTCAATGTAAGTCTCATTGTAAAAGCTTCAGATTTTTCGTGCCTTTTCTTACCAGTAATAAATCATTTAATAATAATGAAAAAAGATTGGTTCAAAAGAAGACGAAGATGAAGAAGAAAAGATCGACATGATGCTGGATGCTCAGTGTACTCCAATCCTGAAACCATCTTCGCCATCTCCTGTGCCTTCACCATTTCCATCACTATCGGGAGGAAAACCAGGAATTCCTGTCGGAATGCCGAAGACCGTTTTTGCGTCACACTTCAGTCCTTCTCCCCTTTCTCCAACTTCTTCCAGAGCTTCTTCTGTTGGTGATCCCGATGAGTATGAAACGATGTCAAATGGATCATATACCTCTGTTCGCTCGGCTAGCAGTATAAAATCTGGTGCATCTGGAATACGGAGACCTTCAACGACTACAGGATTGCGTGCTCCCAGTCGTGCCGGTTCTCACATGACAGTTTCTTCTAGAATTACCACTAATCGTGTTGATCAGAATACTCCTGTAAGGCCAAGATCAATGAGTGTTGTGAGCAACAGTTCGACCGAAGAGAGTACAACCTCGTCAAGAGGTGCGACATCTCCTTCACGAATTGCTTCTCCCACGCATGGGCTCCATATGAGTATGTATAGTATATCTCAATCGAGATCAGGAACTAATAATGGTCGTACCAGATCAATGAGCCGAATTAGTAATAGTTCCGCAGACGATGTTCTAGTGAGACCTACTTCGAATGGTTCATCCAATATGCGATCATTAAGCAGAGCTGGCTCGCATATTGGTACGATAAAATCTCCAGGGGTAGTACAAAGTCGAATTCGTGATAGTATGCAATCAACATCTGTTGCAGCGACTAAAGTTGCTTCTTCAGCCCGTCCTACTTCTCAACTACAGCAATCTCCAACAGGTTTGGTACGACCTTCTAGCCGAGCTAGTTTGGTTAAGTCTCCCGTTCCCTCTACAACGACATCTGGTCTTGGTAGTTTTTCAGAATCTCAGAAGAACACCCCAATAAAAAAGAGTCGACCCCAATCTATTCACGTTTCCAATCAAACTATAAAGCATGAACAGTCACCAAAAAGCAACACCGGTCGAAACACTCCATCTGGCATTAGATCTCCCTCATCAGGTCTGCGATCCATTAGTTATTTAGGTGGTCGCCAAAGTTCCGATAGTTTGTCTTCGCATGATGATTACCTTATGTTTACACCTCCTGAATCACCTACTGGGGCTTCAGAAACAGATTCCCTGACGTCTCTAACAAGTTCCGTCTCATATGGTTCTTCTCCCGGTAGAGGGACTTCTCCGATACCTCCTTATAACACTTCGATGATTTCGCCTACAAGCATAATTGCGTCAAAGCCTTCTAAAAGATCGTCCATGATTTCATCTCCGAACGGAATCAGCAGACTCCCTTCTGCCAAGGTGACTCCCTCAAAGCTTATGTCCCCTAATAGTATAGTAGCTAGTCAAACCACCACTGGTCTAAGACCACCTTCCCAAATTGGGTATCGAAAAACAAAGGGATCAAAAGAATAATAAAGATTGTTGAAACAAAAAGTGGAATTATATATAAACATCAACCTTTTGGAGCTTTTACGTATCTCTTTTAATCATATATTTTCTATCAACGTTGATTTTTTTTTTTATAGATAATGGGTTTGCAAAAAAAAGAAAAAAATTAGATATGCACCGAGTCTTGTGATATTTTGGGTCACTTCGTAGTTTAATACATTTGACTTGTACAGAACTTCTTTTATATAGTTATTTACACTCAAGTTGGTGGTTCGTATGAAATTGGGTTTACTGGTTCCTTTATAAAATGAATTGATTCGTACATATATTTTTTCGCCTTAAAAACTTCACCTTCCATATTCACGGAACAACTTTTTAATTCTTACTATAAATTTCGAAAGTTACATTTGTAATGTCATCGTCTCCTTTTTTTACCCTTGTGCTACTACTTTTTAACATAGAGTAAGAACTTGATATGTTGCACGAACGAAGGATTGTAAAAATAGGTGTTAAACGGGATGATGTATTTATTCCATTTCATATATAATTTTTATCTTGTAAAATATTTGAGCTCGTGGGTTCAATATACTATATTGTATGTAATTTTGATGTTTTATATTATAATTATATATATATAAAAATAAAAAAATTGTTATAAATAATAATATTATTATTGATAATATAAGTAATTATTAATGCAAAAAAAAAATAATGTATTTTAATTATAAGTAAAAGCCAATTTTCAATTCATTCAATGTTATTCTAATTGTTAAATTCAATAACAAAAATCTTCAAGTTTTTTTTTTTTTTGTTTTATTAAATTATAAATAAATAAGAAAATAATTTTTTAAAAAAATTTTATAACAAAAAATTATATTCTAAGAAACATTTTTGATAATTTATTACTAATTTAGAAATAAAATATTTTCTAAAATATAGTTAATTCTAAAAAAAATTTTTTTTATCAATATCTTATTTATAATATATTTTTTTACACAATAATTGATTTTTAAAAGAATTTGTTTATTTTAATTTTAAACCATTTCTTGAAGTGTTCTCAAAACCTTTGTAATTTTGAATATTCAAAACTGATGAATAAAAAGTTAGATTATCATGTTGTTTTATTATGGAAATAAAAACTTTTTAAAAAATAATACTATTATGTAATTTTATTGTTATATCTATAGTAGGTCGCAAAATGCTACAGATGAATGTTTTATGGTAACGTTATATTTTCGAAAATCGCAATTTATTGACCACGACCTTGGCCAGGTTGTGAGCCGCCGGGTGGCGGACGCATTTGTGGTGGAGGTCGAAACCCTTGAGGGGGGGCTTGACCGGGGACAGGAAAACTTAAAATTTGCAATGACATAATTATAAGAAACAATCAGCCGATAGACATTCCTAAACATATAATAGACTTACCCAGGAGGGATACCGCGACCCCCAGATGGAAATGGCGGAGGTCCTCCAGGCTAATTATTTTAATGCAAAAAAGATGTTTTAAACAAAATATACATATGCAGATGTAACGCATAAAATATGTTCCTTACCATTCCCATTGGTGGTGGTCTTATTCCCGGTGGTGGAGCTCCTCTAAAACCTGGGGGCATTCCACCCATTACCGGAGGCATTCCAGGTGGTGGACCCATATTACCTCTGAAACCTGGAGGGACACCCCCCATGACTGGAGGCACACCTGGCCTTGGGGCAATCCCTGGAGGTATTCCTGGAGGAATTTGGCCGGGAATTGGTGGACGATATGATATAGGTGCTGCTGCGGCCGCTGGGGCTCCTCCTCTAGGTTGCATCATCCCGGGTGCGGGTCCACCTACACCACGAACGGGACCAGTAAGACCTATAGATCAAAAACAAATAGAATTAATTTACGATTTAAAATTAAACTACAAACAGTTAATTAAAATGCATATCATTACTTGCTGGTGCTAGGCCGGGTGGTGCCACTGGCAAACCTCTTCCCGCAGGACGACCTATTCCTGGACCACCAGGTAACTATTGGATAATCGCTGTAAATATATAAGGATACACTATTGTGAGATGTATTCAAAATTTAATTTTTTTACCTGTGGTAGCTTTGCCTTGGGATCGTCGATGCTTGGAGGAGGGGGACCTTCTACACTTAGACTGACAATAGTTTCACCTCTTAAAATAACTAATCCTAATGTTCTTTTTTCTTCCTGTTCGGGTTGTCCTTGTGGTACTTTTGATCCACTTTTAGGTTTAATCTTTCTGAATTCCTCACAATCCGCTAAGACTAGATTCATATGTTTATCAAAAGCAAGCATTTGACCTGTTAACACGCGCGAATCCGCAAGAGTTATGCGAAGACGGTAGTTAATCAGGTTTAACATTTTGGAATTTTTGGAAATCGACTAACAAAAGAAAGGAGAAACATTTTCAATTAAAGCTCGAATAAAGACATGTATATGCTAAAATCACAAAATCTAAACGAAGATAACCGGTTAGTTCCAAGTACAATACCATTTTGACTACATAAAACTTTGGAGGAAAATGAAATCGTTATCACTTATCGCGCACATAAGACGAGTTCATCAACTGATCATCGTTGAATTTAGCTTTTTTTATAGTCACGTGTTCTTCTATGTCGAATGTGTGCGTTAGCCAATCAAAAAATTAAAATTAAAAAACTAATATTCTATTAGACCTAAAAAATTATGAAAGCATTGTCTTGGTGTGACAATAACAACAGTCAACCTATTTACGTCATCTGATTTTCATTGACAAAAAAATCTCTCGTTTCAAAAAGCATTAGAAAATTGATCTATTTAAATGGCAAAAAAACGATCACGAAGATTCATAACTGCGGAACATCCATCTTCATATTATGAAACTTTAGATCAATCGGCACTTCCAAATTTGAATTCAAACTGGGTTTACTATAAAGGTTTTTCCGTTTTTCTTCTTGGAGCATGATGAGATTAAAAAATCCATCACAGCACGTTAATAATGTTTTGCCATAACCTCAGGTGCATGGTTTATTCATATCATCCTTATTCTTTGTGTCAAGATACTTTTTAGCATAATTCCTTATGTGTCCCCGGAGGCCAGCTGGACGCTGACAAATTTGTCGTACATGCTTGTGAGTTTACAATATTCCTTGAATTATTTATTTTGTTGCATTAAGGTAATGTTTTGTGGATATGACTTACACTCGTTAATAATAGGGAAGCTTCGTCATGTTTCATTGGGTCAAGGGAGTTCCTTTCGATTTTAATTCCGGTGCTTATGATGGCTTGACATTATGGGAACAGATTGATAACGGGGCTCAATTTACACCAGCAAAGAAATATTTAACTGCAGTTCCGATTGGATTGTATGTAAGCAAAAAAATGTTACGATCTAGAAAACGGTTTCATTTGAATGGTTTGAGGTCTCACACAAATCTTACTATTTTCAGGTTCCTACTCAGCACACATTATACACACTATGATGCGTTCACATTCTTGATCAATTTCACTTTCTTATTAGTTGTACTTATAGCAAAGTTACCACAGTTGCACAAGGTTCGCTTATTCGGAATCAATAGACTCGAAGCAGAGTAAAATGGAGAGTCGATTTAAACAGTACTACAAAATTGGAACTCGTAAATGACAGCAATCCAATGGTGTGTTCAATTCAGATACGATAAAGGCAATGTAAATATACCCTTTATCTGTTGTGGTCAGGATACAAACTAGGACTAACATCATGGAAAACGTAACATTTTAATTTTAAATTATCATCTAGACCTTGTCGGCAAACATTGGTGACATTTTATGTATGACAAAAAATTAATAATCACTAAAAATAAGGAACAGTATTTATCACACTGAAACTGAAATTGTTGAAGAATATTGGATTTTGACTTGAACATGTTTTAGGAGGTAGTATTCGAACGGTGAGTTCGCGTCAATGTGTAATAAATCAAACAATCAATTACAACGTCTATTTAGATTTGTCATCTTCGTCGTGATTTTCAACTTTCTTTAGCAGTTCATTATATCGATCGGATAATCGCATATATTCATCATGTACTTGATTGGCCTGTTTTTTCAAAGTTTCGTGATCCCTCGTCTTTTTCCTTTCTTCTTCTAATTCACCGGTCAATTTTTCAACCTCCTTCTGTAAATGACTCTCTGAATCATTAAGGCGTAAATACTCTTTCGACTGATTAGCAGCCTATTGAGGAATTAATTAAATATAATGAACTTGTTTCTATTCTAAAAGATATTGTTCTTACCTGTTTTTTAACGGCCTCGAGTTGATCTTCGCTCTTCAACAGTTCCACTATAAGTACGTATGTTCTATTCAAAATCCTAATAAACACATTAGAATAACATTAAAATTTTAACTTCATAAATATTGCATAAAGAAATATTCATCCATGAAGCCTACAAGGATAAAAAGAGCGTGAATCCAGTCAGATACCTAGAAATGGTAGATTGTATAACATGTGAGTAATTGTAAGAAGACGAAGTTTAGGCTTAATGAATCACATACATATTACGTTGATTATAAAATTTCTTGGCGTGATAATTAGCTTCAGTTCGTGAATCATGGACGTGCTCTTCATTATTTTCGTGTTGCATATTATATGCACGATTTGTGGTATCTGTACAAACCATAATATGTAAGTAAGGCAAACCAATCGAAAATGAAGTTGTGATAAAATTGTGTACCTATAAACAGAATAAAAACAAAGCTGTCGGGAAATTAGCATAAGCCTAAAATATATTCTGCAAAAATTGTTACCGTGTTTTATTGTAATACTTACACAAATGCAAATTTTAAAGCGTATTGTGACCTTGCGATCTTTGGTCAAAGAAAAGATATTAATAAACATTAAATCAAATTTCTTTCTCTATTGGTAAAAAAAAAAACACTAACCAGCGAGGATTGAGACACCCAGCGTAACATTTCGCGCCGCCACGCGTAAGGAAGTGGTAGCTGGAAATTCGTTTAATGAAGAAAACGCGAAATTCGTTAAACTGAATTCATTGAATTGAATCTAATTACTATTAAATTCTACACAATGCTCACAATAAGGACCACGAACGCAAGGGACTATTAAATCGAAACGCAAAACTTGTCAGTAAGAACGACTGTCATAACACTTCAAAAAGAAAGTCTACTGCGAAATACCTCGAGGACCAACAAAGCAAAAACTAAATTGTAGTAAAGAGTCATTTTTTTTAACCGAAGAATAACAAAAAGTATCAGGCGTTGTCTATATAAAAGTTGATAAACGTCCAGTAAGAGAACAAACTTGTTGTTAGTCTATTGGGTCACTCAATCAATGTAAGGCATACGTCACTGTGACGTGTCCACCGTAATTGTGGCTTATAATGTGACGTATTAAATTAGCTAAATTTTGGTTAACTATTAAGTTAATTGATATACTGTATGTATCTTAATTAATTTAATAAATTTATTTATTTATTTATTTATTTATTAACCCGCAATCAGGCTGGCATCGTATGATTAATTTAATAAATTTATATGCTATTATCAAATATGCAATACTTTAATTAGCTTAGTTATATATATATTATTATATATTATATATAATATATTGTTATTAAATTTATTAAAATTTTTTTAAATAAGTAATTACTATTTTTTTATTTATTTACAATGACTCACTAAAGTAATGAATCATTTATAAAAATTTTTTTGAAGTCTAATACTTTTTTTAATTATTATATAAAAGATAGCCATCTTTTTACATTAATATATCTTGGATTTTTATTATTAAAAAAATAATATTTTTATTATAATTAAATAATATAATTTTTTTTTTTTTTTTTTTTTTTTTTTTAATCCCGCAATCAGGTTGGTGTCGTTTATTTATTAAATCATAAAGAACCATCACACG